AAGCAAGCATAATGCAGATGAGAGAGAGCTGCTAGTTTCTTCTAAATTTTTGGGTTAAGAACCGCTTTCCAGCAGAAATTAGTGATAATTATCTGTTAAGAAACAAAGCTAATTCATCCTGAAAAATAGNGTACTTGAAAGCATTTTTTGCTCATTCTCTTTTGTGTTTTCCATTTGCCCTTACACGCTTCAATTCTGTTGAATCCAAGTTTTTGGTTCTTTAAATGGGAAACAACGAAAATGTCAATAGCAAAGCAAGCATAATGCAGATGAGAGAGAGCTGCTAGTTTCTTCTAAATTTTTGGGTTAAGAACCGCTTTCCAGCAGAAATTAGTGATAATTATCTGTTAAGAAACAAAGCTAATTCATCCTGAAAAATAGTTATACTTATCGCGTGTTTATTTCCAATAATCTAATCTTCATTGTTAAGGATCAATTACAATGTCACAACGTATCGATGATAGAGTCCCCGCGGAAGAGAGTGATCTCCTTCAAATTAAGCCGCTGTAAGTAAAACTCATACTGCATTCTCATCTGCTTTAACATTTTTTTGTCAATTCAGAGGCGCGGGCCAGGAAGTTGGGAGATCTTGTATAATATTAGACTTCAAAGGCAAAAAAATTATGGTACGTAGGTATATGGGGCTTTAATTTTTGTCATATAGAACTAATTAATAAAAAAAAAAACTTACAGCTCGATTGTGGTATCCATCCTGGTTTGTCCGGTATGGACGCATTACCTTACGTAGATTTAATAGAAGCCGATGAGGTGGATCTCCTCTTTATATCACAGTAGGTGCTCCAAAAAATACTTTGTTTATATGAAATGAAACTAACTAAATTTTATAATGAACAAAATGTATAGTTTCCACTTGGACCACTGTGGAGCTTTACCATGGTTTCTCATGAAAACGAGTTTTCGGGGCCGATGCTTTATGACGCACGCCACAAAAGCTATCTATCGATGGATGTTATCAGATTACATAAAAATTAGTAATATTTCCACCGAACAAATGCTCTATACTGAAGCCGATCTGGAAGCGTCGATGGAGAAAATAGAGACTATAAATTTTCACGAAGAAAGAGATGTTATGGGTGTTCGCTTTTGCGCTTATAATGCGGGTCATGTGCTTGGCGCAGCCATGTTTCTAATTGAAATCGCAGGAGTTAAAATACTGTATACCGGCGACTTTTCTCGACAAGAAGATCGTCATTTGATGGCCGCAGAAATACCGCCCATTAAGCCTGACGTTCTCATCACTGAATCCACTTATGGTACTCATATACATGAAAAACGAGAGGATCGAGAAAACCGTTTTACCTCTTTGGTGCAGAAGATTGTCCAACAAGGTGGACGTTGTTTGATCCCAGTTTTTGCCTTAGGCCGCGCCCAAGAGTTGCTACTTATACTGGATGAATATTGGTCACAGAATCCTGAGCTGCACGAAATACCCATTTACTATGCTTCATCTCTGGCTAAGAAATGTATGGCCGTTTATCAGACATACATTAATGCAATGAATGATAAAATTCGACGTCAAATCGCTGTGAATAATCCGTTTGTATTCCGACATATTTCCAATCTAAAAGGCATCGACCATTTCGACGACATTGGTCCTTGCGTTATAATGGCATCGCCAGGAATGATGCAAAGCGGTTTATCGCGAGAACTATTTGAAAACTGGTGCACAGATCCTAAAAATGGAGTTATTATTGCTGGGTATTGCGTCGAAGGTACCTTGGCGAAATCCATACTTTCAGAACCAGAAGAAATTACGACACTGGCTGGACAAAAATTGCCGCTGAATATGTCAGTGGACTACATTTCTTTCTCTGCACATACTGATTACCAACAAACAAGCGAATTCATCCGTCTTCTAAAACCTCAACATGTGGTAAGTGTTTAAAAAGAGATTTTCTAAAATATACATCAGTTTAGAGCTCGCATTTTCTTAGGTGTTAGTTCATGGAGAACAGAACGAAATGTCTCGTCTAAAAATGGCCCTGCAGCGAGAATATGAGGCAGATACCTCTACAAATATAAAATTTTATAATCCACGTAACACACATTCTGTTGAACTCTATTTCCGTGGTGAAAAAACCGCCAAAGTGATGGGCAATTTGGCGGCTACCAAACCAGAGGTTGGCAAAAAATTGTCCGGAGTTTTGGTGAAACGCGACTTTAAGTACCATCTTTTAGCAGCGTCTGATTTATCAAGTATGACTTATTATTTTAATATTCAACTCATTTTGGAAAACTTAATTAATTTTTTTTTTTCAGAGTACACGGACATGAGCATGTCTGTCGTAACACAGCGACAGTCCATTCCCTGGAATAGTCCTTTAGGTACTTTAAAGTTGTTATTGGACAGAATTGGTGGTGCTGGTACAACAGAAGTTATTGAGGAAGAGAAACGTATTCGTGCATTCAAGTGCATCGACCTCTTGGTGGAGGGAAAAATCATTATTATGGAGTGGCAGGCAACACCTGTGAATGACATGTTTGCTGATTCAGTTCTAGCATGCATTATGCAAACTGAAATGGGGGGCACCAGTATTAAAGGTGCCACTGCCCTTTCAAAATCAGATCGCACCCATTTCAAAGAATGTTTGGTAGAAACGCTTCAAGACACATTCGGGGAACACTCTGTACCAAAAATGTTCAAAGGTGATGTTTTGCCCGTTACTGTGGCGGGAAAGCGAGCGGAAGTGAATTTGGAAACATTAGTAAGTTAAAGCACATGAAAGTATACAAATTTTGCTGATATCGTTTTTATTGTTTAGCAAGTGCATTGTCCGGAAGATGACAGCTTACGACAAATAGTTAATACAGCAGTACAAAAATTGCACCAGGCTTTAGTCACACTTCCTTGAACCGTAATAAAGTCTACATAAGTATTTTTATGAAATCGATTGTTGCATTTACATATATTGTGTTCGAAAAAATCCAATCGTCTTTGCAGTATATTTTATGCGAAAAGAAAATACATGCTTCAAAAGTTTATGCTTTTAGATTAACGTTGTGTGCTCTTTGCAATTTGTTCCTTGAGCACCAGTATACTCGCCCGTTGCTCTGGTGGTAATTGCGAAATTTGTTCATCTGAAAGCTGCAAAACTTGCATTATTAGAGCGGCTTTTTCCTGATCAGTTGCGTCGTTTGGAATGCCACAATTTGAAGCTAAACGGTTTTGCAGCTGCTGTTGAGCTGTTTGTTGCTGCTGCGACATAGCGGGACCAGGAACCCCAGTGGGACCACCTGCAGCTCCACGTAGGCGAGGATCAATTTGCCTCTGTCTTGGATCCGTTGGGAATGTTGGTTGTGGGTTCACCTGTTGCGGCGGCATTTGCCGTTGTGCACGTGGATCCATGAGCGGCGGTGGTACCGGATTTGGCATTGCACGCATGTCCTGGTCGATTCCACGTGCCATACGCGGATCCATTTGTCTTGGATCCATGCCTCCAGGTCCACCCAATACTGGGCCATTCATGGCTCGTAAATCAATATCTCCACCTTGCATTACATTAAAATTAGGATTCGGCACAGGCATAGGCGGACCGCCGATAATCGATGGTGCATGAGATGGGGGCTGTTGTTGTGGCTGCGCTATTATGCTTGATTGAATATTTTGCGATTGTACACTACCTGACAAAGGATTTCCTCCGAGAACTGGTGGCATCTGATTTGCTTTGAATAGCATTCCCTAAAATATATGAACATTTTATTTCACATACAAACATGAAATACGACGGAATTCTCACAAGCGCTGTTTGTGGGTCAACGATTCGCATCACAACCATAGATTGCAGTAAAGCATATGCCAACTGCGGATTCAACATTAGCATTTGGCGCGCTTCAGAAGGATTATTTTGTATGCATAGCTTCATCTGCTTCATTAATTCGTACATTTGCTCCGGAGGTAAAGATGCAACGGTTTTAGTAATGATTTCTGGTGCTTGATCCGGATCGCAATGCTCACCATATGGATTTTCAACCTGCGGACCTTGTAGCAACTGCTGCATTTCCATGCGCGATTTTTCGGTACAAGCGTTATCTACACGCAATGTGCGACCACCAATTTCATAGCCATTAAGATTACGCATGGCACTTAAGGCAGTTTCCTGATCTTTGTATTCACAAAATCCAAAGCCCTTCGGCTTTCCACTTTCGCGGTCGAATACAAGTCTAAAAGTTGATATGTTTGGAAATTTATTACATTTGTTTATATCAAATATTATTTTAAACAGCTTACTTGAGCGATAGAACTGGTCCCACTTCGCTGAAGATTTCTTTGAGCTTCTCTTCCGTTGCTTCATATGGAATATTCCCCACTAAAAAAATTTCATTGTAAATTATAGAACAAAATATAAACATGAAATTTACCGAAAACGGATCTCATGGACTTATCCATAATGCTTTGCTCGGAATTTTTGTCAGCCATTTTAATAAACTATCAATTTCTCACTTGGAAAACAAATGATTTTATATAAATTGCGGTTTCCGTAAAAACTTCATTAAACAGCGTAAAGTAGTGATGGAAAACTATCGATGGTGCTATCGATAGTATCGATGGTTTCATTTTGCCGCCACTATCGAATTTTTCTGAACACTATCGATAGTTGTATGTTGTTCACATTAGGCATGTTAGGCATGTTTTATTCAACCATCCCAAGCTCTCTCAAGCCAAATAGCTCTTGGCAAATAGCAAATAGCAAATCTTGGTCAAATAATGGTGTATTTACATGGTATGAATCTGTTCATAAGCCGTATGAATTTATCCTTATCCATTCGTCCTTAAATATACTAGCCAGAAATGCGATTGCTTTATAAAAAAGAGAACCATTTTGAACTATGAGTGTTTTACGCTCTAGAAAATAGTTTCTACAACCTCACACACGCGGTTTTGCATTTTGCTGATACGCGGATTTGCATTTTGTTGATACGCGGTTTTGCACTTTAAACGACGAAATGTGTTTTCAAATGCTCAACTTCAATCACATTTCGTTAAAATACGAGCAGTGATCGGGTAACAATAAGCTGGTGCAGAGACACGAGCTTCTCCGCTACAGCAGAGGAACACTTGTAAGCAGGGTTGCCACTTTGGTAAATTATTACCAAATTTGGTAGACAAAATGTGGGTTGGTAAAAAGGTAAATTTGTTTTCATTTTGGTAGATTTTTGTTAAAGTAATTTTTGTGCACTTTAAAACTGTTCGTTCTGTAGTTATCTAAAAAATCCACCCGAAAATTTTTTAATCCGCCCATAGTAAATACATGGAAACCAAAAAGTCTGATAATAAATTTCTTTCTATAAGTATAGTCCATTTAATTCCATTAATTTGCAAACGCTTTATATTGTGTCCAGTTCAAAACTCATTTTACTCGAATCCTGAGGAGCTCTTGATTGCCTAAATATTTTAAATGATTCTTTAAATAAAATTAAAAAAGAAAAAACTCCAAAGGCCGGTGGCAAAAGAAAATTTTAAATCAACGGGAATTTTTCAATGGGTAATAAAACTGTTTACCCAAAAATTTTCTAAAAATTTTGAGAAAATAGCAAATTTGTTGAACTCTTCTAAATTATAGCTTTAATCCTTGACTTTTATGATTTTACTTAAAATGTAAACAATACTCTTTTCCAACAAAATAAATAAAATAAAAAAATTACTTGAAAAACATTTTGAATATTAAGAAAATAAAAAGCGTTTTTTTTNGTTTTGCACTTTAAACGACGAAATGTGTTTTCAAATGCTCAACTTCAATCACATTTCGTTAAAATACGAGCAGTGATCGGGTAACAATAAGCTGGTGCAGAGACACGAGCTTCTCCGCTACAGCATGACAGAGGAACACTTGTAAGTACTCCAATTTACCACAAATAGACTACATGGTCCAACGATTTTTGCAGGGTAGTTAGTGTTAACCAGACATTGAGAAACCGGCCCTTAAAGTACGCTTGCTACTATGAACGCATAGTTGCCAACGTGGTGATTTAAGCATTAGATTTAGTGCTTTTTGAAAATTAAAACGCCAAAAAAAATTATTTTGTGCCTAGTGCCTTTTTTACTGCTTTTCTTCTGAACTCAAATTTCTCATAGATAGTTAAAACATGAAATAATTTGAAATATTTAAAACTGTAGCAGCACTGAATTTAAAAGTATCTACATTCCTTTTTTCGCTTGTTGCGATTAGATTTTTCTCTCTCGAGATGAACCAGTTTTAATGTGCAGTACTTCGGTATTACTTCGTAAGCATGAACAAAAGTTTTGTGTATTGATTTATACTTATAAATATTAACTATTTTTCTTTAATTTTGTTAGATACAAACTGTTATGAAAAAAAATTAATGCTTTTATTAAGGTAAAACGCTTATTTCCCCAACACTGAATGAACGCTTGGTAGTGAATGCTGTAATGTAATTACCCATTCTGACGGGCCTATAAATTCAAATGCATCCATCCGCATAGCCAAAATCGGCAACGCTCACAGCAACACAAAGCAAAAAGATGGCCAACTTTCCGCGTGCGTCGCTCGTCAGCTGTTGCAAATAAATAAAATTATGTGAAATATTTTTCATTTTTAATCAAGTGCGGGCAAGCAATATCGTTTTTAATGCAATTATTGATATGTAATATTAATTTATTAGTCGTTAGTATGTTAATTTAGTGGCCCAATGACAAAAAAGAATGCGAAAGAAGTGGCATACGTGCCGTACGTGGACTGTTTTGGGCACCCGCGGGATCCCGCGTTGCGTACGGGAAAGAACCTAGCAATGTTCTGAGTTTTTTTAGTTGCGTTCCAGCAACAGTACGAATAGTAGGAATTTACAGGATTTTACAGGAAGTTGTTCCCGCACGACACCAGAGAACGACACCTCACAGAAGGTTTATTAATGGCTATAACAGCTGTTCCTGTAAATCCTACAAAACCTGCTATTCGTACTGCTGCTGGAACACAACTTTTGACTATGTTGTCAAACTACCAAATCGCCGGCAATATTTATCAAGATAATTATTGCTTGCCAATTTCGCACATCTATTACAATTATTGAACACATGAACACTAATGTCTAAATTGAATTACACCCTGTGTCGGCCATTGTCAAACTGTCTACTCTATTACAATGCAATAACTAGACGTTGTCGTAATTTTTCATTTCGGTGCAGAAATTTTCAGCTAAAATTAAGTTTATAGAAGTGCTTGAAAATATGTAAAAGTAATGAAAAATGCAAGAGAACCCAGCGAAGTAAGGATTGGGAATTAAAATTCCGAATTTTCATGGGGATTTATCGTGAAATTCTAATGTAAAAATTCTTTTGTGTGACCTATACGAACGGGACTTCGTCGGAAGGCCTCGCACTCGCATACACAAATAGCAGTTCAAGCATTCGCGTTTTACATGCTGTGGATGGGGCAATAAGTTAAAAAGAAAGAAAAAATTGTGTCATTGAACGTCTGTGAGCAGCAGGAGGGGACTCTCTTGAGAAGGAGCTGAGGTTGAACTCTAGGATCAACTGCGCTTATACCAACACGGATATATAAGAACGATACCAGCACAGGCACAGTAGTATCAACACAAAATGCATGTACATATGGACATAAACCTATAATTAAATATTTAGTACACACCTTCACGGAACACAATCGTTCATCGATAAGCATTTGACATGCAAGTTGGATTATTTCTTTCCCCAATCTTAAAAATTTTATTTCATATCTTTTTACTGTATCATCCGTACGTAAGTGAAGAACAGTGGAATAATATTTAATCATTTTTAGTTGCTTTTGCTACGATTCAAAACGAAGTTGAAAGAAAATCGCTTTACGTGCACCGTCCGTTAAACGAAACTGTCGCCACCGCCATTTGACCATTTTCGGTTTGATTCTCCAATAGACAATTGAGTAGGGGATCAGTGCCGTGGCTGAAAATTATGTGAACACCCTTTAGTGAAAAAGAGAATACTTTAAAAAGTAAACTCGAATACTGTGTTGTACTCTGTGCGTGTGTGCTGAAATCACGAAGAAAAAAATATGCATAAAGCGAATCAGCTTGCTTTAAAAAAGATACAGATAAAAAACGAAAACGCTTATAAAGGGCATACTACTGCGTGTGGAAGGCATTGAAACCGATCGCCATTGTTAGAGGTGGAAGCAAAATCAAGGCAACAAAAATAACATCAGCGTAGCATTCATATTCACAACGCTGGCAAACGCAAAGGTAAGCCCACTGAAATTAACCAGCTGCGTCGTAAAACATACTTGTGCACATATGGAGGTATTCACACTCAATCTTTGGAGCATTTGTAACCATACGTAGACATGTTTATCGTAGAGGCACGTGTAATTAATTTAAAATGCATTTATTCACTTTTACATTTCTTTACCTCGAGTTCGTTAAATCAGTGAGGCCTCTGTCTGTTGCATTCACTTCATTCTCAATGGGAATCGGTACGTCGGTGTTTGTGTCTATGTGCCGAAAAATATTTCATGTATACTGGTTCGACGCATTGGTGTAGATTTGGAGATGGTAAACTGTGTAGTGTACATCTCTGTGACTTTTTTTAAGAAAAATCAATAAGGGTAGCATCTCACGCTCATTACTCTTTGTATAGCATTTCTTTATGACTAAGTGGTTGTGCCAACTATTCCAATTTTTATTTGCTAATGTGTTACCAATTTTTTTTTTTTTTGGGTGAGAAAACGTATGATCTAATAAACGTTTTTAGAGCTTAAAAAGGGCTAAGTAAAGAGCGTGTAGCGTAATCGTGTATGTATGTAGATGTTCTAATTCTAATGAACTGCTGGGCCATACATTTTTTATAACAATATAATTTTAAGATGCATGTTAGACGTTTTTGCATAAAGCGTGATGAAGTATGAGGTGAGAAATCTACTCCATCAAAAATTACTAAGCAACTTCAAAGCAATAACTTGACACATCCATATATGTATGTACATATACCCATGGTTTAGAATGCCCTAAAAACCTACAATCATTCCGCTAAACTCATGCATATTATATAGAACAAAAAATTTATATATTTAATATGTATATATATATATGAACATATGTATTTTTTTAAAACCGATAGTTAGTTGTTTACGACTTTCAAATTGGAAATCAAGGATTGTCAAGAGAATTTCGCCTGGCACATAACCTTCCAGTTCCTGTTGTATGTGTGCACTAATTTTCTTGCTCTTCCGACTCTTGTGCTACTCCATTTTGGCTGTTCCGTATACCATTTCATCTGTTGTATATTTCATTGCTACACGTTATTGCTCCTCGTTTCTTTTTGCTATTGTTATAAATATGTGTGTATAATATCTACATATTAATGTATATATAAACATACATACACACACATACACTTGTATATATGTATATATGTATATGCTTGAACATATGCTTATGTTGATATGTGTACGATGCATATGGTTTAACATCCCAACAAGCAAAATAAACTTAAAGAAAGTTTTTTCGAAGTTTTCAATTATAAACATTAAGCTTACAAAATGTTGATTTTTTGTTTATAAAACGCTTGAAAGTAAGCGTAATATAATCGAAAAGGA